GTCAAATCAAAGTACGATTGCACGCAATGCACGAAAACTTTTCCATGACTAAATGATGGTTTTGCTTAGTGCCCCGTTTCTCTGTATTTCACACACTGACATGCAGATACTGATTGTGATTATTGTAAATGCAGACAATACGTGTGATCAATGTGCTTTGCATGCGTTACAGCACTTTAGAAAGACAGTTTTTTCATGAAGCACATGTATGAGATTAATGCCCGATACAAATCATTGCAAAAACTAGGTCCGCAAAAGACTTTGGCAAACGAAAGCAACTGACAATTCTGAATCCAACGCATACTCTGTTTGATCAAGCGCAGCGCGCGCCAAAACAAATGTATGACAAACAGCATTGCGAGGCAAAGGGAACAATCTCAGGACAAGCCAGTGTGAGAACCACTCAACACAACATGACTGACGAAACCAGCAGCGTCATATTGAACCATCACGACATTGTGGGCGAAAACTCCGGTAAACTGCACGGGTAGCAGGCGCAGAGACAGGATGCAACCATCACTCTGGTAAACTGCATGGGTGGCAGGCGCAGAGACCAGGGATAGAACCATCACTCTGGTAAACTGCACGGGTGACAGGCGCAGAGACCAGGGATAGGTATAGCTTTTCATGGGAATCTTTCATATGCCGGTGTGCAACATCATACTACATGGATCTACATGGTGGTTTTGCTTAGCGTCCCGTTTCTACTGATTGTGATGGTTGTAAATGCAGACAATACGTGTGAGATCAATGTCCTTTGGATGCGTTACAGCACTTTAGAAAGTCAGTTTCATCATGAAGTACACGTATGATCCCTTTGTTACACAGTTTGAGGTGTCTGGGATGTTTGTTCTGTGCCTTTGAGATGTGTGGGAAGTTTGTTTTGTGTCTTTGACATGTTTAAGAAGTTTGGTCAGTGTGTTTGAGATGTTTGAGAAGTTTGTTTTGTGTTTTTGAGATGTCTTTTTGAGATGTTTGCGCAAAGCGGAAATTGGCGTCCAAAACCAAGCGGAAGTTGGCGTCCAAAACCAGTCATTGAAAAACTAGATCGGTAAAAGACGTTGTCAAACGAAAAAACTGACAACGCTGAATTCGACGCATATCCTGCTTGATCAAGCGCAGCGCGTGCCCAAACAAATGTATGACAAACAACATGGCAAGGCAAAGGGAACAATCTCAGGACAAGCCGGCGTGAGAATCACTCAACACAACATGATCGCAAAAACCTGAAGCATCATATTGAAACATCACGACGTTGTGGGCAAAAAGAAAAGCAAGGACAAAGGCGGGAAAGGCTGATCCGCAAAACGTGTCGGCAAACAGCAACCAGTGACCAGTGACAGCGCTGAATTTGACGCATAATCAAAAAAGGCTCAAGCACGCACAGCGCAAACCAAAGCAAAAGTATGAAGGACAACATGGCACGGAAAAGGGAACAATCCCAAGACGAACCAGCCTGGAAACCACTAAGGCAAAACGGCGGCCGCAAAGCCTGAAGTGATATATCGAACCGTCACGACGGCGTGGGTTTAAAGAAACGCGACGACAAAGGTGGCATGGACTCAGTGAAGTGGCAATAAATGCAAAACCTGACTCACGATCTGGTACTGGATGGGTGGCAAGTGCAAAGACCAAGGATCCAACCATCACTCTGGTAAACTGCACGGGTGACAGGCGCTGAGGCCAGGAATCTGACAATCAATCCGCTTCACTGCACCGGTGGCAGGCGCGCGCACCAACATTTTTTAAGTTTAACTTGGCAAACTGCACTGAGGGCGGGCGCGCAGACCAACAGTTTGAAAATCAATTCGGTCAATTGCGGGCGGCAGGCGCAGAGAACAACCAACCATCACTGTCGTAAATTGCACGGGCGGCAGGCAGAGCAGGGATCCGACAATCAACCCGCTGAACTCCACCGGTGGCAGGCGCGGACACCCACATTTTGAAAATCAACCTGGTAAACTGCCAGGTGGCAGGTGCAGCGCAGAGACCAAGGATCTAATCTAACCATCAGTCTGGTAAACTGCACAGGTGGCAGCGCAGAGCCCAGGGATCTGACAATCAATCCCTTGGTGTCTCCACCGGTGGCAGGCGCAGACACCATCATTTTCAAAATCAACCTGGTCAACTGCAAGGTCGCAGGCGCAGAGGCAAAAGTTTTGACAAGCGATCCCGTAAACTGCACGGGTGGCAGGCGCAGAGACCAGAGGTTCCGACAATCATTCCGCTGAACTGCACCGGCGGCAGGCGCAGAGACCAGGGATAGGCACAGCTTTTCATAGGAATGTTTCACATACACGTGCGCAACATCATTGCATGATTGTATGTGTATGCTTGTATGTGTGCGATTGTATGTGTATGATTGTATGACAGTATGCTTACATGACAATGTGCGCCTGATGTCATGACGATCATAAGACCGCCATATACAGTTAGTAACAGCGTGTCATCCAACATGGTTGCGTTTGTATCAATGCATGTTGGCTGCTTGCCGAAGATCCAAAAGTAATTCTGTTACCTGCACGAATGAACACATCAACACCTAAGTAGACACCGCGAGCACTCGCACATTGTATGTGCATAATGCTTTCCAGGGCCGTGATTCAATTGCCAGCGTGCAGCACAATTGCATGGTTGTATGTGTGTGTGATTGTATCTGTATGATTGTATGTGTATGATTGTATGACAATGCGCGTATGATATTATCATGACGATCACAAGACCATATACAGTTAGTAACAACGTGTAATCCACAATGACTGCGTATGTATGAGCTCATGTTGGTTGCTTGCCGCAGATTCATAAACAATGTTGCCAACAGCAGGACCGAATTATGAACACAAAAGTGTGCAACGCGAACACTTGCACATTATGTGTTTGTACTTCTTTTCATGGCAATGCGTCACATACCTGTGTGCAACATCATTGCTTGGTTGTACCTGTATGCTTGTATGTGTATGACTGTATCTGTATGATTAATTGTATGTATTTGATTGTGAGACAATGTGGGCATGATGTCATGATGACGAACACAAGATCATATACAGTTAGTAACAGCGTGTCATCCAACATGATTGCGTTTGAATCAACTCATGTGAGTTGAGATACCTGGTAAAGGTCCGGAGGGTTCCAATGCAGATACCTCGTTAAGTTCCGGAGGGTTCCGCTGCAGATACCTGTTGCGGTTCTCAAAACTTCCGGTGCAGATACCTGGTCAGCTTCTGGAGGGTTCCTGTGCAGATACCTGTTGAGGTTCCTGACCCGGGTTCCTTTACCATTGCGCAGCACCATTGCATGCTTGTATGTGTATGATTGAATACAACGCAGAAGCTTTCAAGCTGTTGGGGATAGCACCTGAGTTTTTTTACATGATGTCTTGCAGTGTTGCAAATGGACTTTATTATATTTTCAAAGAAAGTTTTGAAAAAGTAGAGATGTGGAGAGAGTAGGGATGTAGAGAGAGCAGAGATGTGAGAGAGTAGGCCAGGTGATGTTTGGGCGCTAGACATGGCACGAAACCCTATGTTTTCGCACCAAGTGGCTCCCGGCGTGGACGTGGGGAACCTTGTCTGTCTTCACGCGTTTGCGCTCAAACCTGTCCTACAGTGTAAAGTTGAATTCAGGGGTGCAGATCGCACTGTAATGGCTGCTTCATGTTTGTGTCTGCGGTCTTGGTTGACGCAGCCCTTTTGTGATTTGCATGGCAATGACGGCCGATCGCAGTGGAATTGCTGCGTCAATGTGATGTTTGGACGTTGGAAACCGCACGAACCCTTGTGTTTTCTCGCACCAAGTGGCTGGTGGCGTCGATGTGGGGAACCTTGTCTGTCTTCGCGCGTTTGCGCTCAAACCTGTCCTACAGTGTAAAGTTGAATTCAGGGGTGCAGATCGCAGTGGAATGGCTGCTTCATTCATGTGCATGTTTGCCGCCTTGTTCGATATAGTTCTTGTGGGGTTTGCAAGGCAGTGATTGCAGATCGCAGTGGAATTGCTGCGTCAGGGTGATGTTTGGACGTTGAAATTGCACGAACCCTGGTGTTTGCTCACACAAAGTGGCTCGTGGCGTCGACGTGGGGGAACCTTGTCTGTGCGACGGGTGCGGTCTTCGCGAGTTTGCGCTCAAACGCATCCTACACTGTAAAGTTGAATTCAGGGACGCAGATCGCAGTGGAATGGCTGCTTCATTCATGTGCATTTTTGCAGCCTTGTTCGACATAGTTCTTGTCTGATTTGCAAGGCAGTGATTGCAGATCGCATTGGGACTGCTGCGTCAAGGTGATGTTTGGGGTTGGAAATCGCACAAAGTTGTGTGCTTTCTCGCATAAAGTGGCCCCCGGCATCGATGTAGGGAACCTCGTTTGTGCGACGGGTGTGGTCTTCGCGCGTTTGCACTCAAACGAGTCCTCCACAGTAAAGTAGAATTCGGGTGTGTAGATAGCAGTGGAATAGCTGCTTCATGTGCATGTTTGTTTGCTTCAGTGTGTCAGGCCCCGGGCTCCCGAGCTGCCTGTCAAGATTCAGAAATGACAAGCGCAAACCGGATCAAGAGCAAGTGGCATCATCAGACAGGGATGTCAAGAGAAAAAATGTCAGGGAGAAAAAGACCTTTCCAGACAAACAGCATGCAACCAGAAGATCTCTCAAGATTCAAAGATGACAAGCACAAGCCAGATCAAGAGACGGCGGCATCATCAGACAAGGATGTCGAGAGCAAGAAATGTCAAGGACCAAGACTTCCAAGAAATCACGGGGTCAACGGCCGTGCCAGCCAGGCGGTCAGGGGCCGCTCCTATAGGCTCTCCCTTTTCTTTATGGGCTTTTCCCCCCTCAAACTTCCGTCACTCGGCTTGCCCGGGCTCTACTGTACCCTGATCCTGTTGGGAGTCTACGAGGTGCAACTGCACACAAAACATCAGCAGACTGTGTCGTGATACAAAGCTTCGCGCCTTGAGTTGGCGTTTAGTCAAGATTAGCCAAGTGGATTTCGTTGCCTGGCTTAGGGGCGACCACGAGCAGATACTGCACCCGCCAGGCGCTAAGGTCGGTTGAATCGGTTGATTTCCCTTGAATTGAGAGTGAAGTCGGCCAGCGCCTATGCAGATACATGCCATTTAAAGTAAAGATAAAGCGTGCTGACTATTCTTCAGAACTTCGCCGGCATGAAAAGCCTAACGTAGAAGTCTAAGGGGCGTATGTTTTTGCACTCATGGCATGATCAGCAATTGATGGGGTTCAATTTCGCTCTTTGAAATTATTATGAGAGCGTGATGCTAACTTTCAGAGTCTACTCGGCCGGCATGAGATGAGTCCGCAACTGGTGTCACGCATTGGAGCATTTACATGGCCATGCATATTGGCCATGATATGTGATCAGTTGACATCGGACAGCGGTGCTATTCTGCCAAGTCGCAGCACTGTTCCGCATCGGCCCATAGCTCATGAGTTTGTTCCGCTGCATATGATTGAATGTATGGTTTGCAGTGGCCTGCAGTCGTTGATCCGTCCGCGTGCAAATGGCTCGCGCATTGTGCGATTGCAAGATCATACTGTCCATGTATGTAAATATTTAAGGGCGCGGACAAGACGCATTCCTGGCATTGTTGAAACTGATGCAATTTCACATTCCCTGAAAGTCTCATGTCGCTCGAAGCTTAGGTAGGGAGTCCAAGCACATTGCGTAGTATAATGATATGTACTGATACCAGTAGTACCGCACAAGGCGGTGGCAGAAGTTTCAAAAATCCGCCCGCACCGAAGGTGCTGGGGCGTGATCTTCCGGATGGCACTCGTAAAAGGTTACAGGTTTACCTGGGGGAGCGGAAACTAGCGGGGGGGGGGGGCTCGGCGGCTTGGGGGCGACTGGCGCGCGGGGGGGGTTGCGGGGGGGGGGGGGGGGGGGGCATTTTTCGGCCAAAACCTCCTGTTTTTGATAGGTCGTGACGCTCGCCTTCAAAAAACACTGTAAAAAACAGTACGGAAGACACCTGTTCGTGAACGCGCCCGTCCAAAATCGGCAAGCGAAAAGTGAAAAAAAACCGTGTTTTTCAACTTTTTGACTTCAATTTTTTGGTTTGCAACATCTTTTTTTGCGGTTCCGCAGGTGGCCGGGCCCGGAGGCGGATTTTTGAATTTTTGGACCCGTTTTCGGACTGATTTTCGTCGTTTTGTGATAGCAGAAACACTGGTTTTTACAGTGTTTTTCTGTTTTCTGCATGCTTGACGGCTAGCTTCAAAAACTTCCAAAAACCTCGTAAATTACGCTGTTTTATGTTACGGTGTGAATGAAAACATCGTAAATACCAGTGTTTTTTGACGTTGGTTAAAAAAACACTGTAAATTACAATGTTTTTGGCCACCTGACCCTCAAAAACCATTGGTATTTGCAGTGGTTTCTGCTTCTCACCGCGCAAAAACACTGTAAATAACAGCAATTTCGCCGTTTTTTCATGTTTTTCGTTATTTTTTGAATTGCGTTGGTCCGCTATACATGGCTATCAAATTCTTCGCGTTTTTTTTCCGACAATCAGTACTTTCGGATGTTTTTGGTCTCAATGGCCGACATCATTGGCAGTTACGAGCGGCTGCCCAACGATGCGGTGCGGGCGGTTGCCGTCGCGAAGCGACGTGAATAGGAAACCTATAGGAGAGATTGATTGTTGTGAGTCACGGATGGCAGAGCGAAGCCACTGATGGACCGACAGGTTGTTGACGTCTCTTCTCTTTCTCTCTCTTTCTTTCTCTTTCTCTGACTATCTACCTACCTACCTACCTATCTATGTATCTATCTATCTGTCTGTCTGTCCGTCCATCCGTCCGTCCGTCCGTCCATCCATCCATCCATCCTGCCATCCATCCATCCATCCATCCATCCATCCATCCATCCGCCGGAGCCGAAACACGTTGCTGATGTCCCGAAAAAGACGAGCTCCAAGATTCACTTCCATGCTCTCCTTCCCTGTGGACTGGACTGTTCCATGGAGCAGCGTCCTTTCATCCCTCACGGCCACTGGCGGCAACTGCCCAAAGCCATCAGCAAGCACAACTTTCACACCACCGAACGGCAATCGTGCTCCGCAACGGCAAGGCGAGGACCGATCGCAGCAGCTGGGGTGATAGCAGTCTGATAGCAGGCGAACCGCAGATGCATGTGAGCCAAAACCACCTTCTCGATCATGGACACCTCATCGACCTCAAGCACCGCCATGCCACCCAGTTCGGTCGCCATGGTTTGCATCTCGTCGTCGGCCAGAGGCTGCAAAGGAGCGGCACCACGACGGGTTTTCAAGCGAAACAATGATACAATGGTGCGGGCGCCGCTGCCCATATTGCTGGCGGCCACGCCTGTGTAAGCTGCGCGGACAATCCGACCCTTCAAACCATGTTCCTCCAACTGTTGATTTGCTGCTTGTACTGTTGTGGTTTTCCCCGTCCCTGCTGTACCAAGTACTGGTAGCAGCAGCAATACGGGACCCTGCAACTGCCACAGACCATCTTTTTCTACGAGCAACGGCAGATTGTTGTTGCATGCCTCTGCCGTGCTTACGTAGGCATCGCACCATGCGCGAATGATCCACGAATGGTTGCTGTGTAGGATCCATCCGGGGACTTGCAGCTGCAGACACAGCTAACGCTGGAAGCTGGCGCTGTCACCAAGGCAAGAGCATCTTCGTGCGACAAACCACCTTGCGTCGTCCGCAACGTTCTGACACGTGTGTCAGGTAGGACGGATGCTGTTAGACTTGCTGAAATGGCATTTTTATGCAAGCTGGAAACAAAAACGAAGCACGTCTGCTAGATCTGCTCAATGTCTAAACTTGGCAACATCGTCTGCGCAGAAACATCATATAATTGCAATTATAGTTGTAGTTGTGGTAGTAGTAGTTGTTGTAGTTGTTAGTCTAATTGATTTAGTGTAGCGTAACTAGATGTCATTAGATGTAACTAGATGTAATTAGATGTAATTAGTTATCTTGATTCAAGAGCTATGTGGGCCAGGTTTCTGTAGAGTACAGGCGGACATGATCATATACATATATCCATGTAGACATTTGTGTACACATGTGCAGTTGCATATGCATTACATATACATTACATTTGTGAATTACATATCAAATGTTTAAGATTCAAGATCTTGTTTTACGTAAATAAGGTCTTACGGACATATAATATATGTCCGCAAGATCTTATTTACATAAAATCAGATCTTACGGACATTTGCACATATGCGAAAAAACAATTGTTGGGGCATATGTGACACATATTGCCCATATATGTTGTAAATAAATGCGGAAGCTATATGTATATACGTATATACCCTCTAGGCCCTCTACAGAGTATAGCTCTTGAACCAAGTTAAGTAATTAGATGTAATTAGATGTAGTTAGATGTAACTGGATGTAATTAGGTGGAACTAGATGTAGTTAGGCGTAATTAGATGTAATTAGATGTAACTAGATGTAACTAGATGTAATTTAGCGTAGTGCAGTGTAATTAGTGTAGTGCAATGTATCGTAATATATTTGTATTTGTAGTTGTAGTAGTGGTGTAGTGTAGTGGTAGTTGTAGTTGTAGTCGATCCATGTATCTATCTATCTATCTATCCATCTATCTATCTATGTATCTATCTATCTATCTATCTATCTCTATCTATCTATCTATCTAATCTTATCTTATCTTATCTTATCTAATCTATCTAATCTATCTATCTATCTATCTTTCTAATCTATCTATCTGTCTATCTATCTATCTATCTCTCTCTCTCTCTCTATCTATCTATCTGTCTATCTATCTATCTATCTAATCTATCTAATCTATCTAATCTATCTAATCTATCTAATCTATCTAATCTATCTAATCTATCTAATCTATCTAATCTATCTAATCTATCTAATCTATCAAATCTATCTAATCTATCTAATCTATCTAATCTATCTAATCTATCTAATCTATCTAATCTATCTAATCTATCTAATCTTCTAATCTATCTAATCTATCTAATCTATCTAATCTATCTAATCTATCTAATCTATCTAATCTATCTAATCTATCTAATCTATCTAATCTATCTAATCTATCTAATCTATCTAACCTATCTAACCTATCTAACCTATCTAACCTATCTAATCTATCTAATCTATCTAACCTATCTAGCCTATCTAGCCTATCTAATCTATCTAATCTATCTAATCTATCTAATCTATCTAATCTATCTAATCTATCTAATCTATCTAATCTATCTAATCTCTCTAATCTGTCTAATCTGTCTAATCTATCTAATCTATCTAATCTATCTAATCTCTCTAATCTATCTAATCTATCTAATCTATCTGATCTATCTAATCTATCTGATCTATCTAATCTATCTGATCTATCTGATCTATCTAATCTATCTAATCTATCTAATCTATCTAATCTATCTAATCTATCTAATCTATCTAATCTATCTAATCTATCTAATCTATCTAATCTATCTAATCTATCTAATCTATCTAATCTATCTAATCTATCTAATCTATCTAATCTATCTAATCTATCTAATCTATCTCATCTATCTAATCTATCTCATCTATCTCATCTATCTCATCTATCTCATCTATCTCATCTATCTCATCTATCTCATCTATCTCATCTATCTCATCTATCTAATCTATCTAATCTATCTAATCTATCTAATCTATCTAATCTATCTAATCTATCTAATCTATCTATCTAATCTATCTAATCTATCTAATCTATCTAATCTATCTAATCTATCTAATCTATCTAATCTATCTAATCTATCTAATTATCTAATCTATCTAATCTATCTAATCTATCTAATCTATCTAATCTATCTAATCTATCTAATCTATCTAATCTATCTAATCTATCTAATCTATCTAATCTATCTAATCTATCTAATCTATCTAATCTATCTAATCTATCGAATCTATCTAATCTATCTAATCTATCGAATCTATCTAATCTATCTAATCTATCTAATCTATCTAATCTATCTAATCTATCTAATCTATCTAATCTATCTAAT